AAGCACAGGTGTCAGGGCATAAAGAAACGAGAGGAGTACAGGAGAGGGTATAGGATACTGGTGTCTAAGAGTTCCAGTGAAGGTTCACAGTATGGCCATGAGTGTGGGTGGCTGAAGTGGGGTGAAAGAAAAAGTCACTAGATTTGAGGTGTCCCTCACCTACCAGATTTTATCTGTGATCATGGAAATCCCCTGGGATGATGACAGATCAGGGACCACTTTTAAATGAGTATGACTCAAAAAATGTGAGGGAGTGACTTCCCTGGCAGAGTCACCAGGTGGTGCAAACGGTTGACATGCGCAGCTGCTGACCGAAAGGTTGTAGGTTCGAGTCCTCCCAAAGGTGCCTGGGAAGAAAGACCTGGTGATCTACTTTTGAAATATCAGTCATTGAAAACCCTATGGAACACAGTTCTACTCTGACACATATGGGGTCACTGTGTTGGAATTGACTTGATGGCAACTGGCTGACCAACTAGCGGGACAGCAGATGATAAAGCTGGGTAGCTGTGCCCTGAATGAGAAAGGCAAGGCAGGAGAGAAGTGATGTCACTGAAGCTGCTTTAGAGCTAGCAGAATGCGGGATGCTGAACAGGCAGCCTCTTGTCCCACTGGGTTTCTGAGAAACAGGATTCTTCAGGGCAGTGCTTCCCAAAAGCATCAAAATCACCTGGAGAGCCTGCTAAAAATATAGATTCTTGGCATCCCCTCCCCACCACATACACTTCAGACCTGCTAAATGGCATCTTTGGAGTAGACTAGTGGGTTTGTATTTTTTAAACAAGCCTCCACCAGGTGATGTAGCCCAGGGGAACCATCTTTCAGATAGAGCCAGTAGGACCTGAGAATCCAGGGGAGATGGCTCCCAATAGAATGGAGCTCTGGTGAGCTCACTGGGGAGGACTCAAAGAAAGGTTGGAGGGAAGAAGAAGGGCGCCTGGGGAAGCACAAAGCACACACACTAGAGAGACTTGCATTTAGGGCAAAGGGAAGAAGGGATGAGAAATCTGGTGGGATTATCTGGCCCCATGGTTCTAGTCTGGCTCCAGATGAATCAGGGCAGTTGTGACTCCATCAAGAGTCTATAGCTTCTGTTCAAGTGAATTTGACTGAAGAGGTTTTGGAGACCCTGAAGAGCCCCAACATCAGCGGCAGGGGGAAAAATAATCTGGTTCTGAGGAGGCTTGCCTCCCACAGACTCAGCAGGGATTGGTCTTTCTCACCCAGCCATTCAATTTTGAAGTTCCGCAGAGCTCTGTCCAAGGTCTCCACTTTTTTTCTGAACAGGCTCTCCCGGTTAATCTCTCCTCCTTCCAAAACTCTCAACACCATTTACATGCTGATGGCGCCCATATTTACATCTTTAACCCAGAGCCCTACCCCCACTCCAAACTCTAGACCTGCTTTACCAATTGCCTGCTGCCAGCAATCTCCTGCAGGCACCTGATATTTAGCATTTCCAAAGCTGAACTCACCTAGATTGTTTCTCTTCCAGTATTTCCTATTTCAGTTAGTAGCATCACTACCTACCCATTCCACCAAAACTAGAAATCTGGAGGTCATTTTATGCTTCTTCCTTTCCTTCACCTCTCTGACCACACACTTGTTGTTGCAATTTTAGGTACTGTTGAGACGGTTCAGACTCTTAGCGACCCAATGTATAACAAGGAAACGTCTGCTCCTGTGCCATCATCACAATCGTTGCTATGTTTGAGCCTATTGTTGCAGCCACTGTGTCAATTCATCTCTTTGAAGGTCTTCCTCTTTTTCGCTGACCCTCTGCTTTACCAAGCATGATGTCCTTCTCCTGGGATTTGACCCTCCTGATAACACGTCCAGAATCATGTGCATATGAGGCAATTGAAAATACCATGGCTTGGGTTAGGTGCACCTTAGTCCTCAAAGGACCAATGGATTTTTTCAACCACACACTAAGTCACATCACATCAGAGTCCCTTCACTCTTTTCATCCCTACTGCTTCAATTCAAGTACACTCATCTTCTGTCTCAACTAGTTGAATAACCTCCTAACTAGAAACATGCTAGTGGCTTCTAGGAGAGCATATCCTCCAACATTCTCACCAGAGCCAAACTTCTAAAAAGCAAATCTGACAAACTCTGTTGACTATGGCATAAACACCAAACTCCTCAGCACGGCACAGAGAGCTTCAAATACAGCCCTACTCACTTCTGTCGACTTGCCCCCCCCCATCTCCCCCAATTTTTCTTCTAGTTGTGAAATTTTTGCTTAAAAATAATCTCATGGTGGTCCAGAATGAACAATCAAATTAAAAATGGGAGGCTGCGACCTCTCTCCTGGATCCTGAATCTGGAGGTTTGGAGTGTTGCCTGGGAAGTGTGTGTGTGTGTGTGTGTGCATCCACTGGGTTATGCCCAACATCATTCTTAAATGTCTGACACATCACATTAAAGAACCCAGGCTACTGTGTTCTTTCCTAACTTATTATAGGCGGAATGGAGAAGAGGGACAAAAAGAAAAAGATCCTGCATCTACCCAGTCTTCTAGGTTGCATTACCTCTGCATCCATACAGAGATTAAAACACTGGGTAATTGCCAAGCAGAAATTTTAAAAATGAAAGGGCATCTGCATAGCCTGCAAAACTGACGCCACACAAAGCAGTTTGGTTACCAAAAACATTTCTGATTGAAAATACATTTGGAAAATGCTGAACCATCTATTAAGTTTGCTCAGCATTGCTCCACACCGCTCAGTTTTAAGGGACGCCCTAGAGATGCAGTTAACAAAGTATTTTGCTTTATTTTTATCAGCAGTTCATTAGAAAGTTGAAAACCTGAAAAGTTATTTCTCAAGCTGAAGATCTCCCGTCGATACTGATTCAAACATATACAGTATTAGGCTGCCATGTTTAGTTGTACACGAGAAGAACAATGTAACTAAGGAAAGTTAATCTTTGAATGTTCAAGAAACCTTATAGGACATTTGCAGATTTCACTAAGGCTCGTATTAACTCCTGAGCCAACCTAAACAATAGAAAAGAGATATGATCGAAGTCACTGTTAATCAGACACGCCGTTTCTGTTTTAAAAACTTTAATTGTAGCAGAGGCGGTTTTTCCTCCGCTCCTATTTCGAATTGTTTCCACATTCATTGTCTCGTAGTACAATACGACAGAAGCGGTCCGGGAGCAGGTACAGTATCGCGCAGAGTGTAACGCGGCGGAGTCCAGCAATGTTTTGGAAACCGTTCCCGGCCCTTCCAGTGGGTCGTGGAAAATTAGGTGGCCTGGGCGCGAAAGCCTCGTCCTGGCGCTCCGGCTGCTGCCAATACAACTCGCAACTTTTGAAATCAATCCTTTTTGCATCATACAACGGATGCCACCTCTGCTTGAGTTTGCAACCCCCCACCCCTCCCCCGAGACCAATCATTGCCGCGCTCAGGCCTGCACATCGCCCCCGCCCCCTTCCCAGGCCGCACGCAGGCACCGAGGCGCTCCGGCCGCGGCCCGCCGCCTCTTAAAGGGAGGTAGCCGGCCCTTAAAGGACCCTCGCGCGCCGTTTACGGCGTGAGCGGGGCGGCACCGGTTCCCGCAGGGGTCCGCGGAGTGAGGCCGAGAACCGCGGCGCCCAGGCGCGGGCCCGGGGCTCTCCCGCCCTCCGCGCCGCCGCCGCCGGTAGCAGCATTTTTTATTCAGGCGACGCTAAAGGGAGCCCCGGCCGCGCCCGGTGCATTGTGGGAACGGCCGGGAGTCCCGTTTTCGGGAGGAGGAGGAGGGCGAAAAGCGAACCGGTGAGCGTCTGGCTTAGGGGAGGGGGGGCGAGACACCAGGCTTAAAGGGGAATATTCGTCCACCAGCCCATTGCGGCCGTTGCAAATCCCCCTCCGTCCCACCCGGGACCGGCGGGGAGACGTGCACGGCCGGCCCTTTCCAGCCCTGCTTAGAGAGGGGGCAGAGCCAGGGGTTGGTGGGGCCTCTTTAAAAAAGAAGCACCGCCCGCGCCGCCGCTGCCGCCGCCCGCTGCCGCTGGGAGCCGGGGAAGGAGGGAGGGAGCAGAGAGAGAGGGGGAGGAGTGGAGGGGGAGGGCGGCGGCGG